GATGAGTCTTTATATGAAATATTACTGGTTTCTGAACCTTATTTTCCAGAGACAAGAAAGATTATTTTCTCCTAAGGTACCTATGAGCTATAGCAAGTTGGTAAATTATACCTGTTTTAAAAAAACATTAAAACATGCATGTTTTCCTTTCTACCTGATCGCTCCAGAATTTCAGGTACTCTTCACTAGTCCTCGTGTGACCAAATTAAAGGTGTTGACTCTTTGATTCAGGTTTCCAATTTACTTTTTTTTCTTTATTGATTTTAGAGAGATAGGGAGAGAAAGATAGAAACACTGATGAGAGAGAACATAGATTGGCTGCCTCCTGCATGCCCCCCACTGGGGACCAGTCCACAACCTGGGCATGTGCCCTGACCAGGAATTGAACCGGTGACCTCTTGGTGTATAGGTCAACACTCAACCACTGAACCACACCAGCCAGGCCATGTTTCCAATTCAAAGTAAGTTCTTACAACTAACCTGACCGCTCAACCAACAGAGGATATGAAGTTTAAAATGACGAGGAACTACCCTGGCCAGTTTGGCTCAGCGGTTGAGTGTTGGCCTGTAGACCAGAGAGTCCCAGGTTCGGTTCCTACTAGGGGCATATACCACCAAAATAAATAAATAAATAAAATTACTAGGAAGTGCTCGGCTGGTGTGGCTCAGTGGATTGTGGCTCAATTAAAAAACATTAAAAATAAATAAATAGCCCTGGCCGGTTTGGTTCAGGGGTTAGAGCGTCGGCCCACCATCCAGAGATACCCCTGTTCGGTTCCCACTAAGGGCACGTACCTCAGTTGCAGTTTTGTCCCCGGCCCTGGTTGGGGTTGTGTGGGTGGCAACCACTCGATGGGTCTCTCTCACATCGATGTTTCTCTCTCTTCCTCCCTCTCTCCTTCTTGCTCTATCTGAAGATAAATGCAGAAATGTCCTCGGGTGAGGATTAAATAAATAAATAGCCTTGGCCAGTTTGGCCTAGCAGTCAGAGTGTCAGCCCACAGACCAAAGAGTCGCAGGCTCGATTCCAGTCAAGGTCACGTACCTCAGTTGTGGTTCGGTCCCCAGCCCTGGTTGGGGTTGTGCGGGAGGCAACCAATCAATGTGTTTCTCTCTCTCTCTCCCTCCCTCCCTTACACTCTGTCTGAAAACAAACAAAAAAAAATCCTCAGGTGAGGATTTAAATAAATACATACATACATAAATAGAATTAGTAGGAAGTGCAGCAGACGGCACCTGTTGTGGGATAACTGACCCAAGGTCCCAGACCAGGTCTCTAGAACCCACACCTGCCTGTCCTTCCTTTTTTCCTCACTTTAATTCCTTTCTCTCTCACACACACAAATATGAGAGACCAAGCAGTCACTATAATAGTTACTGTTTCTCACCCTGGCCGGTTTGGCTCAGCGGTTAGAGCGTCGGCCTGCGGTACAGAGAGACCCGGGTTCGGTTCCCACTAAGGACACGTACCTTGGTTGCAGTTTGTCCCCGGCCCTGGTTGGTCGTGCGGGTGGCAGCCACTCGATGTGTCCCTTCACGTCGATGTTTCTCTCTCTCTCTCCCTTCCTCTCTCTCCCTCCCACTCTATCTGTACAAGAAATGGAAAAATGTCCTCGGGTGAGGATAAAAATTTAAAAAAAAAAAATAGTTACTGTTTCTTTTTTCCCCTTAATTTCTGTCTGGGAAGATCACATCGGGCATCCTCTCTAAGCCCTGGGCATCATCGCTACGCCTACTTCACAGGTCAAAGCATGCCACCGGTTACAGGCACGGTGGAGGACGTTCAACGCCTGGCGACGTCAGCCCCAGCGAAGGTACCGGATACGCAAAAATACTTTTCCTTGGGCAGGTAGTGCGATGACTACCCAAGCAAAAGCCAACCGGTAAAAACCTTTAAAGTTCTTTTGCACAAGTTATATTAGAGTATAGATTTGCTCTTGGTCATACCCTAGCTGAACAAGGTGGGGTTGCTCTGTAAATACTTCCTGTTGTACTTGATAAAACACCTCTGGTAGAGATAAAACCAGATAAAATCTGGACACAGGCCAAATGATTAAATGCAGGGCCCATTGACACCTCACGGTTCACCAGTATCTTAGCCGACTGACCTTAGGTATTGCCTCCCCGGTGAGATCTATTCTTTAAGTTAAACTGAGCATTTTGTTTCTTATTATAGAAATGTTTTGTGTTATACACACTTGTTTTGCACAGCTCGGTGTTAGAAGCACCTCACTCTGGTCATGGTTGCTCAGCATTTTGAGATAATCACTGAAGCCTCAGAGATTTCACGAGAAACTTCCAGAAACTACAGATGTCTGCCCTTAGACATGACGGTAAACCCACCTCTGTTCTGGGGTTCTTGTTGTCACATGTGGCCTAAACCTCCTAAAAAAAAAACCATGCCCTGGCAGGTTTGGCTCAGCGGTTGGAGCATTGGCCCGCGGACCAATGAGTCTCCGGTTTGATTCTGGTTACGGGCATGTACCTCGGTGGCGGTTCAACTCCGGCCCTGGTGGGGTCGTGCAGGAGGCAGCCAGTCGATCACATTGATGTTTTTCCCTGTCTGTCTGTCTCTCTCTCTCCCTCCCTTCCACTCTATCTGATAATAAGTAGGAAAATATCCTCGGGTGAGGACTTAAAACACAAAACAAAACACTTTGCCTCTTATGTGGGACATGATATACCAGGAATGAGCCTTCCTGGAGACAAGGGAAGGACACAGGCTGGACACACCCAAAATGAGCCACTGAAGGGGGAGAAGCCATGATGCACAGCAAAGCTTTCAAAGAAAGACCTTGATTAAAAGGGAGGAAATGTAAACAAAAACATAAATGGAGCTGAAGCTGCCGTCCCAGAGGAACTGCCTTGCACAGCGTATGCCTCAACTCTTTGGATGTTAAAATGGGGGCAGGATAACCTCCACACTGGGCCTGAGCAACCTTGGCTCTCCAAGAACTGTTTGCAAAGATGAAGAAAGTGGGTGTGATGACCACTGGACTGATTACGAACACACCAGAAATTAAAAACATTGTTCAGAATCAGCATCACTTTGTCACGTTATCGGCACCGGAAGCAACGCCTTCCTTCTACTGAAGTAGTTTTCCCTCCCCCTTCTCATCAATACCCATCTCCTTGGTCTCCTCATCGGAACATTATTTGAATTTCTGCCTGAATCAGGGATTTAGGAATAGTTATTTTTACAAAATCTCAAAGAAAGGCTTGTTTCTCTCACGTTGAAAGGCCTTTTATTCTTAGGTTAACAAGGGGTTTGGCTAGAGCAGGAACTGCAAGAAGGCAGTGAGTGGGGAGGGGGGCTGGGGGAGCTTGGGTACTGCTCTGGGACCTCAGAGGGGTGTCAGGTAGGCAGCCAGGGCATGGCCTGGAGCTCAGGGGCCAGTGCACACAGGTGTGATGCTTTGACCAGGGCAGGCGACCTCCTGATAGGGCGGCACAGCGATGCGTTAGGTCGACAGTCCATCCTGCCTCAAGGGAAAGCAGCCCAAGGCTCCGGGAGGGTTTTGATGAGGACACCAAGGTGCAATCCTAGGGGCCTGGCAGCCTGTGTTACTGTGAGAAGGGTGCACCGCCGGGAAATGTCCCTGGCGGGGGAACATCCTGAGCGGGACCAAACCACCTGCAGGCCCAGGACTTTGCTCCAACTTGGTCCTCCTGGACCCATCTTCCTCATTGCCCGGTCCCCTCTCCTGGCTTCCCTGCATGCCTGCCAACGCCTCTCAGTGGCCCCAGGCACAGGCTCTGAGGCCCGCCCACAAGTTCCAGCCTGGAGTAGCTGCTTTGGGGCGGCTTCTGCACTGACTGCGGTTTTGTCCTTGACCTCTGTGGCTGCAGTTTCTGCCCCTAGAGTTGGGACAATGCTTGTGCACCCCCTCACAGGGTGGCGAAAGGGTGACAGGGGCAAATACCGACAAATTCAATGCTGTATGAGTGTCTGCTAAATAAAAGAAACCACCTTTCTGAACCCCGGGTCGTACCCGTGTGGTGTGGGGTGTCAGCACTTTGGGCCACCGACAGGCTCTGGAGCCGCAGGTGTACAGGCCCCACCTGGGGACACAGAGCTCTCTGCTCCAGCCTACGGCCGCCCCACACCTGGTCCCACGGAGTGCCCCTGGTAGGCAGGGGAGTGGCTAGGGAGCCTGCGTTGCCTGTGGAGCCCTCACCCTTGTCTGGCTCCCCTGGAGGTGGTGGTGGTTCTGATTTCCTGGAGCTATTTGGGCTGGGAGATGCTGTCTGCAAGCCAGCCTGCCTGGCCCTGACGGGTGGGAAACGTATCTGCCCTGTTCTGCCTCAGAACAGCCGTGTAGCTCTTGGACTCCGACCTCCTCCTGAGCTGCCCACAGGGGACCCAGGCAGGGGTCTGGTTCCAGGCTCCAGAGTGGGCGGCCGAGTAGTGCAGCTCCCAGCATAGCCTGTCTTCCCTCACCCAGCCCTGGGGAGCATAGAGGGGTCCTCCCTGCTGCCCTCCTCATCTCAAGGGCACAAGGGGGGGGGGGACCTGGGGCCGGCCAACCATGCATGTTTAATCAGACAATGGGCCCAGCAGGGAAAGGGCCACACCAGGTCTCCTGCTTGCCCAGAGGGGGCACTGCATGCTCAGGACTGACTTCTCTCCACGTTCTTGGGCAGACCTCTTCCCTCTGAAGCCCTTTACAGAATATGATGCTGCTGGCCACCTCTACTGCACAGCTGTCCCCCGAGTGTGAGCACTCCTGGTGTGTACAGACCCCCTGGGCGCATGAGCTCTGCCTGCAGACCTGCCTGGGGCTACCCATGTACATGGGTTCTGGGTCCACAGCCGTTCAAGGCTGCTTGCTGCAGCACCTGGTGGGTGTGTGGGGTCTCCTCAGGGGCCCCCACCACTGTTGGAGAAACTGCTGTCTGCAGGAGCCCTGGGTGGCTGGGCCGGGTCTGGGGCTCGGCAGCAGCTCTGGGGTTGGGGTGCAGCATTTGGGTGGGACAGGTGGGGGTATGACCTGCCCACCTCAGCCATAGCTGTGGGGGTTGCTGGGGTCAATGGGGGCTGAGTCCCGCGGGCCAGCCGATGCGATGAGCTGCCATAGGCGGTGGCTGAGGTTCTGCACCTGACAGGTGCCCAGCACACAGCCCACCCGAAAGAGCTGGGCTCTGCGCCTTGGGGGACCCGAGTGTCGACGGGGACCATTCCGGAGAGGCTGGCCCCTAGCAGGGGGCAGGTTGGTGCTCCTCTGTGGCTGGAGGGCCTGGCGCGGTTTGCAGATCACAGGCCCAGGTGCAGGGTCCTGGGGCTGCAGGCCACTGGAAAGGGTCCGGGCTGGAGGCTCCCTGCAGGGGGAGATGGAGGGAGTAAATGCAATGACCGAGCCTTTCAAGGACCCCCCCCTTTCCACCTGGAGCACTGCCAGAGGAAGCCCCAGGTCCTCTTGGAGCTCAGCTTGGGTCCTGGAGACTCGGCCATGTCCACAGCCCAGATCACATGTCCCATTCACTTGTGCCTCCCTGGGCAAAGGGCACCCCTGGCTTCTGTGGATCACTATGCTCAGGGCCGAGTGACCCCCCTCAGCCCTTCCTGCGGAGTGGGGGTAGGTGGACAGGCCTGGGTACCCCTTCAGCCTCTGGTGCTCTAGCTCATCTCTCTATTGAGGAGTCCTATCGGCCAGTGGGGTTGGAGGACCGCCCTGGGAGGGGAAGCAAAGAAAGGGGGGACTCTTGAACTGTTCAGGCGTTGCTAAAGGCACGGGAAGCTGGTCGTGGATTTAGAGGGTAAGCCCTCGCTGTGGGGGGAGGGGTCTTCCCCACGCAGGGGGTGGAGGACTGGGGAGGGGGCAGGGTCGGTGGACAGCCTCCCCAGGCTTTCTGGTTTCTGTGGCTTCGGCCAAGGGACAGGCTGGGCTGAGCCCACTCACCTGGGCGGGGCGGGCCGCCGGCTCCCGCCCCGGCAGCGGGTCAGCGTGCCCGGGAGCTGCAGGTAGAGGAGGCTGATGTAACCGAGGGTGACCGGCAGGAGCCGGGCCATGGGCGCGGGCTGCAGGGCCGGACGGCAGGTGCTGGGGGGCTCGGGTCTGGAGCCACCCTCCCGTGGGGAGCCCTCTGCGTGGAGGCGGGCAGCCTGGCACCGGCTTCCGGCGGTGAGCGGGTCTCAGAGTCCTGCTCAGGACGGAGCCTCGGCACCTCCGGGGCTAAATCGTCTTGGCAGCAGGAGGCGGGGCCCGGATGCGCGGCTGGGCGGGCGGTACTGTGGGCGCCGGGAAGGGGCGGCCTAACGGGCTGAACCCGACGGCGCTGGCGGGGGCACCCCGTCTCTCTAGTGGGGGGACGCTTTCCCGGAGCCTGGTGGGGGCCCAACTTCCCGGGCAGAAAGAGCCCGTGCTCGAGGGGAGGGTGCGGTCAGCAGGTGGGTTCCCACCCACCGCCTCTGCTCCTGGGGGCGTGCCACCCCTCAAAGGTCTGGGCGGGAGAGCGGCCCTGGGACCTGGCCAGCACCTTTGCGGGAGAACACAGCAGGTGGGGTATTCAGTTCCTCCCAGAGACAATGCCAACACTCCCTCAAGACCCCCTAGCAGCTATATTCTGAAAAGTCGGTACCTTTCCCCTCATTACTGAGTAATAAATGGCCTGTAAGAAATTTAAACAAGTAAAAAGTGAGACCCACCCCCCATTGCCACCCACTGTGGGCTCCTGCCTCAGATCTGCTGGACGCCCCATTCCTGGTTTCCTCCATACACCGGGCTTTCTTTGTGTGTGTTACATAAGTACACACCGCACCTATAGCTAAAAATCCATGGAAACATAGAGCCCGCCCGACTTCCTTACTGTTGGCCCTACTCCAGTATGTAGGTGCTCTGTGACTTTCTTAATTGGTCCTTTACTAAGGAGCAATCAGGCAATCTCCAGAAGAACCCTTGTGTCGTGAGCTCCCAGGTGTGTCTCTCCAGGATCCTCTCCCGGAAGTGGAAATTATGGACGAGGGCGAGCCTGTGTTTGTGTAAACAGTTAGTGTCAAATTGTTTTCCGCCAAGCTTGTGCCAACCCACTGTCAGCCCAAAGTGGACGCGGTGTTCGCAGTTCTTTGCTGCTTTGTCACTCTGAGAGGGGACAATGATTCACTGCCCCTTTCTTGGATGATTGAGCATCTCTGAGTCTATCGGTCTTTCCTCGGCCTCATGACCCTTCCCCAGTCTTCCTTCCTCTGCCAGGCTCATCGTGAATGACCTGGTCACTCTCCATCCCTCCTGCTGCGTGCACCATGGGAGCTCAATAAACATTTTCTGGAGGAGGGGATCCATTAGTATTGAATGCCTGCCGCATCAAAGGGTTTGGTCTGTGCCCTGAGGAAGATAGGAAACATCAGCAGGTATCTCCGCTTTGTTGGCTTACTTTTACCGGTGTAGGGAGGAGGGAGAGTGATGTGGTCACATGTATATTAGAAAAGTGGAGTTCAGCCCTGGCCGGTTTTGCTCAGTGGTTAGGGCGTCGGCCCGCAGACCAGAGTCCCAGGTTCGGTTCCTGCTAAGGGCACATATTTTGGTTGCGGTTTGTCCCTGGTCCTGGTTGGGGTCCTATGGGTGGCAATCAGTCGATGTGTCTTGCTCACATCATTGTTTCTCTCTCTCTGTCCCTCCCGCTCTATCTGAAGATACATGCAAAAATGTCCTCAGTTGAGGATAAAAAAGAAGAGTGGAGTTCAGTGGGGAGGTGGGTGCTGGGGGCCTGGGGGGTTGGGGTAGGGACAGAGGGGATGGACCAGAGAGAAACAGCCCAGCAGGGAATTGCTGGAGAGAATGGAAGGTTAGCTGCCTGGGGCCATCCTGGTAGAGGTGTCTGGCGGCCTCCAGCCTCACAGGCCTGGGGCAGAAGAGGGGGCAGACAGGGAAACAGCGGGGCAAGGGGCCTGTGGGCACAGCCTAAGGACGGTGCAGAGAGGACAGAACTCAGCATGGCAGCTGTGAAGAACAGGTAGGGAAGTGGGCGAAGCTTCTCACCAGCCTCCCCTCTCCTCGCCCCCATCTGTCTTCCACACTGCTGCCAGAACCATCCTTCCAACACCAAATGTGACCGAATTACTCACCCCACCAATGAAGAAAATTCCCTATCTTTGTGAGTTTAACAAAATACATTTTAATTGATTTTTAAATAGAGAGGAAAGGAGAGGGAGAGAGAGAAACATCGTCGTGAAAGCACATCGATCGGCTGCCTCCTGCATGCCCCCTACCAGGGATTGAGCCCTGAATTCCCAGCACGTGCCCAGACGGGAATCAACCAGTGACCTCCCAGTGCACAGGATGATGCCCAACCAACTGAGCCACACCCACCACGACTCCACTAGTTTTGAACCTGGGAGATGCAGGTGAGTCTCAGTGAGGTTTGTGGGCCTGGGGCTTTCTGCATTCTTCCTGTCAGGACACTTGCTGCCAACATGGGCCCAAGGTCCCATCTCCCTGAAAGCCCACAGACAGAGTATCCTCTGGCCTCAGGCCGTTTATTTTGCCAACTGGATTAGAAGCCCCCTCTGTGACCTCATAGCCCCATGCACAGCACAGCCCATGGCATTGGGCTATAATGTCCGTGTGCTCTCCGAGGGGGACCCAGGGGCTCCTCAGTCGGAGGAATTGCTTCTGGGAAGTGGTGGGCTGGCTGCTGGGAGCTGCTCGCCTCTAGAGGTTCCCCTGGAGAGCAGGAACCAGGCCACGGCACACAGGTGATGCTTTAGAGAAATCCATGTGAGGCCAGAAAAGCCAGGGTGGCAACTGGCTGGGCTAACATCTAGGGCAGTTTTGTAGAGGGTCTTAAGGTGAGAGAGAATGTGTTGAACCCTGATGGCAAGGCTCACTAGTGGAAAACATTGAGAATGGAAGCCTGGGGAGCAATGGCAAGAGGTGGGGAGGAGGCAGGAGAGGCAGAGCCTCCGGTAGCTGTGGAAGCAGGTGGGGGGTAAAGGAAGGCCGGCTTGGGGTTTGGTTTGATGATGCAACACTTGGCTGATCATGGATGGCTTCTGTGTTCTCTGTGAAGGAGGGCAGTGGGATCACCCTCTGAGACGCAGGAGGTGGGGGCAGAGGTTTGAGGAAACTGCAGAGTGGAAGAGAGCTGACCAGAAATCAACAGGCTGGGCAGTGGGGTCATCCATGCATGGCTGGGGTCATGGTGTCACCATGACCATCTGCACTGTAGGTGGTGCAGGGCCATAGGAGATGGGTGTGCAGGACTGTGTATGGCTGGGGTTTGCTGGACAGGGACGGTGAAAACCAAGTCAGAGAGGTGGGGGCCAAGGACACTGGCAGCTGACAGCTGATGGGAGCCACTCTGGGTGGGGTGAAAGAACGGAAGGAGGAAGCCAAGGGGCCGTGGGATCAGGGAGGGTCATTCCCTGCAAGAAGACCTGGGGGAGAGCAGGGAATTCACAATCCCTTCAAGAGGGAGGAGGCAGGCCGGAGCCAGCACCCCTGAGGGTGACCTGGGCAGTGCTGAGTGCAGGAAACTCCATGGCAAGAAATGGGCGGGGCATCATGGTCCAGAATGGACCCCAAACCGCCCCATAAACCTAAGGTGCCTCTGAGAGGCCTGTAGAAATGGGCTGTGTAGGGCATGAGGGTGGGGCAGAGCCAGTCCTGAGCTCAGACGCCAGGCCAGGGGACTTGCCAGGGACACAGCCTGTCCATGCATAAGCTCCATGTTGTGCCAAGGTGGGGCTCCGGACCCTTTTGTCTGCACGTGACAGAGACCAACTGTGGCAGAGGAGGCTGTGGCTGGGCCTGTGCACCCGGCGGGGAGGGGAGCCTGGTGGGCTCAGCTCTTGTCTCTGGGTTTGGTTTCATTCATCGTCCACGGCCGCCCCGGCCTCGAGGGTGGTGGGCACCGCCAGGGGTCCTAGGTGGTGCAGACCAACCGGGTCTCCAGGGCCTCGCGTCTTAAACTCCGCTCTTTGCAGCAGGACGCGCAGCGCGCCTTTCTTAAGGACATGCGTTCAATGTCTCAGCCCACGTGGGTGGGGCTTCCAAGTGGGGCTCGGGTCCTCCTCAGGCGGGGAACCCCAAGGGCAAGGCCTGGGTTTTCCCACCGCCGGTGGCAGGGCCTGGGGGATGTGCCCGGCCCGTCCGCTGTCCCCCAGCAGGGAGGCCGTGGGCAGGGCCAGGCCCTTCTGCCTTCCTCCCGGCTGACAGCGCCGGGGACAGAACCCCGGGACTCGGGCCGCGTCGGCCGCTGACCCGTGGGAGCCGCCGTCGCTGTCATCGCCCGGGGGGCGGTGCCCAGGCCCCGAGCCCGCGGTGATGCCCCGCCCCCGGATCCGAACCTGGACGGACTGGCCCAATGGTAGCGCGCCCCTCCGGGCCCCGCCCGGGGGGGGCGGGGCGAGGCCGCGCAGGCGCACGGCACGCCCGGGCGGGCCGGCTGGCTGGGAAGATGGCGGCGGGAGCCCTGGCCGCCGCCGCGGAGCGGGCCCGGGGCGTCCGGGGTGCGCGGGCCGGGGCGGGGGCCGGGCCATGAGCACGCCGCTGTCGCGTCCCCGAGCCGCGGAGCCCGCCCGCGCCCCTCGCCATGGCGCGGCTCGCGGACTACTTCGTGCTGGTAGCGTTCGGGCCGCACCCGCGCGGTGAGTCCGGGGACCGGGCACCGGGGAGGCTCGACCGGGGTGGGCGGGCCGAGGCCGCCGAGCCAGCGGCACGGTCGTCCGGGGCACCGGCCACGCCGCGTCCGGGTCCGAGGCGGGCCGGGCGATGAGACGGCGCGGGCTGCGCCTGCCCGCCGCCCTCGGCGGAACCGGGAGGCGGGAGGGTCCGGGCGCTCGGCCTCCTGACCCCCAGCCCAGTGGGACGGACCCCGCCTGGCCGGCTGCGGGCGGCTCTGCCGCCGGGGACGCCGTCGCAAGCCCCTCCTCTGCCCCGCGGTGCCTCCGGCCCCAAGCACCGGCCGGCCGGCGGCGCCCAGGTCCAGGGGGTCGGGGCGCAGAGAGGGCCAGGGGTTCGGGGACTACTTCATGGAGAGAGGTGCTTGAGCTGCAGGTGGAGGGTTTCGGGA